CTGCAGGATCTTTCTGAATCTTTATTTCAGCTCTCGTCTTAATGACCCATCCCACTGTGGGATGGTCTTGGTCTGTCTCTGAGTTCAGTCTAGAGGCCAAACTCAGTCGTTAGAAAGCTTGCTTTTCTTCTGATCCATTGAGAATTTATGCAAACATAGTATGAGGGGTTTTTCTGTACAGATATGGTGGCTTGAATCTTTTGGGGTCTCGATGTCAGAGTTTCACGACCCGGCAGGCAGGCTCAGTATCAGTTCCCAGTACCTTGCTGTCACCACAGTCCTCTGAGGAGGTCTCACACAACAGTCTGTATATGTGTACCACAGCATTCCACCACTCTGCTTGGATAACACCTTCACACGAGTCATTTAACCAGGTGTTTTAGAGAAGACTCACTGAAGAGTCTCTCAGGCACCTCCATTTTTCCAGCTGGTTGAGTTTTTGTAAATAGTGGCTATGTAACAAGTTCTTATCCAGTAATTGAGGGCTGCTCCTTCATCTTGCTGATCTGCTCCTGCCCTGCTAGGTCAGATGAGGGCAGATGTCCTCTCCTCAGCCATGTGGCTGCAGGCTGTCTGTGTGACCTGGGACCGTGGCTGGGGAGAGACATATGCAAAAGTTTTTGCGATATCAAGGAAAGGCTTCTAAAGAATGGTGCAAAACGGATATTACTGCTGTGGTGGTTGCACTGCGTTCACTAATCTGTGTTTTTATAGGTCTGATGATCTACCCAAGGAAGATTATGCTAAAAATCTAGCTGTTGTAATGAGAACAGGTTTGCTCACTTTGTTGTTTTTTAATCAAGATTACTCAAACTATTAAGCACACATCTGTCTCCTTTGTGGTAAGAAAAGTATGTGACTTGAAAATGCCACAAATGTTGGAGTGTGATTTGTAGTCTTGCCTTCAGGTGGGGCACCAGGGACACCCTGAAGCAAACACTGTCCCGTGGTCACCACCACAAGATTGTGTACCATCACTGGTAAAGGTGCGCCTTTAATCACTGCAAACTTTGAGCTCACACATTGTCCTTGGACAAACAGAGTGCATCTTTATTACTCAGTGAGGACTTTAAATAATTCATTACTGGAGAAAGCAAAGGGAAGAGCAATGCTGTTTGTGCCAGACTCTAATTGCTGAATGCACCATGACCTTTTGAATGAGGCCCCACATTTAATCACGACTCTCTTCTGGTGCAATGGTTGGTGAACCCATCTGCTTCTCCATCTGCTGCAGGGGGATAAGGGTACTGGTTCCCCCCATGATATTGCAAACATCCCAGCTAGGGGGAAGGAGGTTTCTCTGAAACAAAACTGCAGCCAGGTATGAAACAGCAATGATAGTCCCCAAGGTGAGAAGCATGGTGAATGTTTTAAAGGGGAAGAGCTGACTGTAGGTCCCGTTCTCCAGGGAGCAGGCTGGGTAGCAGATGATGGGGGAGATGCTCAGGGCAGGCTCCCCTGCCAGCAGCCTCAGGAAGAGCCCAACCACTAAGCCAGCAGCAGAGCCATAGGTGTTGGTGCTGGGAACAAAGAGAGCACAGCAGAGCTGGGGGAAGAGCAGAGCATACACCAGCTCCCCGCTGAGGAACCAGAGGTCATAGACAGAGTTGGAGTAAAAAGCCAAACCAGCAGCCATGGCCCCAAACACCAGCATAGACGTCCTCATGGCCCATAAGACCTCTGTCTCCGTAGCCTGTAAAACAGGAGATTGTAACATTACAGACACAGCATTTACTGGTTGTGGGGCCAGCACTGCCCTGCCCTGGGCTGGGTACCACTGAGCCCCCACTGCTTTCAAGTGATGCTCGCCACCAGCAGCCACCCAAAGCAGGCAACCCTGGAGCTGTAATTTTAAGGGTCATGGTTTTCTGCTGTTTCCATTAATACACTAGTCCAAATTTTATATTAGTCATTTTATGAAGAGCAAAGCTCACCAGTGTGGGTATCTGTATCACTACCCCTGACCAATGTTTGAAGCTCTGGCTCCAGAACTCAGTTCAGCAGCTGAAGGACAGAGACCTCTAATTGCAAGCCACACAGACTGGATTTGAAATGGTCTTGAAACAAAAGCATCTATTCTGACACCGCAACCACTGACTGCTGTAATCAAGTACCTTTTTCCTCAGAATTTTCCTGTAGATATTGTGAGCAAACATTGAGCTGGAGGAGAGAAGAGCTGAGTCTGCAGAAGACATTGTGGCAGCAGCAATGGCTCCCAGACCAGCAATGGAGATGTATGCTGGGCAGAGATACTGTAGAACAAGGGGCAGTATCATTGCTGATTCTCCTCTCTCAAGTGGACTTGGAAGACCATAGCTTGTCTGGTTCCAGTCTTTAAAATAGAACAAGGAAAAGTCACAACAAATCCTTCACTTACATTTCTGCTGTCTTTGAAGCTACCTTTCTGCAGGGTCCTGTCCCAGCAAGGCAAAAGACTGAGACCTATTCAGTATTTTGGGACTTGAATTAATTTTTTCGATTCACTTTTGTGTTTCCCCTTAGCATGCTGCAGCTCTCACTGGATCAAAGATTTTCCTTTTGCATGTAGCATCATATAGATGCTATATAAAATAATATAGCATTATATATTACATAGCTTTATAGAAATAGCTGTGCTTTGTGTGTTTCCAGGGTCAACCTTCTGCACTGTGCTCATTAGGAGAAAGGAGTTTTGCTTTGACGCCCGCCCCTGGTGACAGAATGCATGAGTTCATGTTCGGTGATCTGACTGCTCTTTAACCCTTGCTATAAACCAACACCAGATCTCCTGGGCTGGGGCTGTGCATTTCCAGGACTGAAATTCTTGATTCATTTAAGCAGATTTTCTCCTGAATGTTATTAACAACCTGTAGTAATATAACTGGATCTTACATGCAGAAGACATTAACAGAAGCAGGCATAAGAGTTATTGGAAAATAGGATTACACAGTGTTTTACAGGGTCTGACTTCATCTTTCCTCACCACAAGGTCCATAAAAAGTCATTTGTCCATAATGAAATAGCTTTAAACAGGTTTTGGGGCTGCTTAAATGTCTCTAGGTAGTCATACACTGCACCTCAGAGAGCTCTACATTTCTGGTACAGGTTTCTGGCTTGGTGGCCAGGTCTCCCATTGAGGGCTTTTAGGTACACAAGACTAGGTAATCTGAAGTCTAAATCAGGACTTCTTTGGGTCTCGTTTTAATAATTTTTGACAAAAAATGTGTTCAGTTTTCAAATGATTTCATTTTACCTGTTGATGTTGCAACTGCGCCAATGAGCACAGAGGGGATGGCCATTAAAAAGCACCCAAGTCCAGACAGGTAGGAGATGAGCCTGGCCTGTGTCGGTGAGGCAGCAGAGAGCACTCTTTGGAAGTAGGTTTGCCACGGGATGCTGCCAAGTACCTGAAACATTCAGATGTTACCAGTGGTACCCACCAGGTTGCTGGCTGCTCTAGGGCGCTATCCATCTATTCAGATGGATGATAATCTTTGCTGTTACAAATCCCTCACTTCAAATGCATAAACTTTGCCCAGCTTTAACTATTCACAGAATCACAGAATCGCTCGGTT